ATTAGGAGCTCTTAGTGGCTACAGCTGAGGGTGTGTACACCAAGGTCAGGCCAGTGCACAGGCCAGAAAACTAACAACTTCTGCTCAGTGTGGTAGTCATCCGGAGGGTCCACTTGACTGACGATATACTTAAGGTATTTTTTTCAATATTGTTATAGATTTAAATCGCCAGTTCAGGATTCCCCCGTTATTTGTTCAGATTATCCAAATGCCTGGATGGTTATAGGATCACATAGACCGGCAATGGGACCGGGTATGGTGGCACATATCTTTAATCTTTATTTTTTTTTTATCTTTTATTTAGTTTTTCGAGACAGGGTTTCTCTGTAGCTTTGGAGCCTGTCCTGGCACTAGCTCTTGTAGACCAGGCTGGCCTCGAACTCACAGAGATCCGCCTGCCTCTGCCTGCCGAGTGCTGGGATTAAAGGCATGCGCCACCACCGCCTGGCATCTTTAATCTTTAAACTCAGGTCGATTCCTGAGTTTGAGGCCAGTCTGGTCTATTGAGCAAGTTCCACAACAACAGGGTTACCCAAAGAAACCCTGTCTTGAAAAGATAAACAACAACAACAAAAAAAAAAAATTGGAGGTGGGGAGGGGAGCTGAACATTAGCCCAGCTGAGAGGCTCAAAGGCCTTCGCAATGCAATGGCTGAAGGATCTTCATTCTTTGTCTTTCATTTAGGGACCATGGTTTTGCTACGTAGCTTAGGCTAGCCCAGCACATGAGTTAGTCCTCTTGCCTCAGCCTTCCGAGTGTTAGGATCCCAGATATGGGCTACAGGTTAGTTTTTAATATTTAAGCACAGAGAAGTCAATAGAGGAAATCCAATCACTCAGATGCCCCTCGGTGCACATCACAAAATAAAACACTGGCTAGAAAACATTTACACTAGTTTTTACATTTTCTCATTGGCTTTCTGATTTACTTTTTTGTTTGTTTGTTTGTTTGTTTTTTGTTTTTTCTACACAGGGTTTCTCTGTGTAACAGCCCTGACTGTCTTGGAACTTGCTTTATAGACCAAGCTGGCCTGAACTCACTGAGTTCCACCTGCCTCTGACTCCTGAGTGCTGGGATTAAAGGCGTGTTCCACCACCACCCATCCTGATTTACTTTTTACTAGTAAATCTCATTCACAATCAGGTGTGGCAGCACACACCTTTATTTTTTTCATAAAGATTTATTTATTTATTTATTTATTTATTTATTTATTTATTTATTTATTATGTATACAACATTCCATGTATGCTTGCATGCCAGAAGAGGGCACCAGATCTCATTATAGATGGTTGTGAGCTCAGGACCTCTGGAAGAGCAGTCAGTGCTCTTAACCTCTGAGCCATCTCTCCAACTCCCCCCCCCCACCACCACCAGTACACACCTTTAATCCTAAAACACCGGCAGCAGAGGCAGCCTTACTTCAAGGCCAGCCTAATCTTCAATGCCCCAGGCCAACCAGAAAGCCTGTTTGAGACAGGGTTTCTTTGTCCTGGAACTCTCTCTAGGGACCAGGAGGGCCTCAAACTCGGAGATCAATCTGCCTCTGGATTAAAGGCATGCATCACTACTGCTAGGCTTAATAAACAATTGGGTTGTTTTTTTTTTTTTTTTTTTTTTTTTTTGGTTTTTCGAGACAGGGTTTCTCTGTGGCTTTGGAGCCTGTCCTGGAACTAGCTCTGTAGACCAGGCTGGTCTCAAACTCACAGAGATCCGCCTGTCTCTGCCTCCCGAGTGCTGGGATTAAAGGCGTGCGCCACCATCGCCCGGCAACAATTGTTTATTGATATTTATTGAGCTCTAATTTTTCTCTGCTGCCCTCCCTGCCTCTCCCCTCTCCCTTTCAACCCTCCCCCAAGGTCCCCATGCTCCCAATTTACTCAGGAGATTTTTGTCTTTTTCTACTTTCTACTTCCCATGTAGATTAGATCTACGTAAGTCTCTCTTAGTGTCCGCATTGTTGTCTAAGTTCTCTAGGATTGTGGTTTGTAGGCTGGCTTCCTTTGCTTTATGTTTAAAAACAACCTATGAGTGAGTACATGTGATTACTGTCTTTCTGTGTCTGGGTTACCTCATTTAAAATAATGTTTTCTAGCTCCATCTGTTTTCCTGCAAAGTTCAAGCTGTCATTATATTTTTCTGCTGTGTAGTACTCCACTGTGTAAAATAAATGTACCACATTTTCCTTATCCATTCTTCAGTCCAGGGGCACTTAGCTTGTTTCCAGGTTCTGGCTATGACAAACAAAGCTGCTATAAACATAGTTGAGCACATGTCCTTGTGGCATGATTGAGCATCCTTTGGATATATACCTCAAAGTGGTATTACTGGGTCTTGAGGAAGGTTGTTTCCTAATTTTCTGAGAAATCACCACACTGACATCCAAAGGGGTTGTACCAGCTTGTATTCCCACCAGCAATGCAGAAGTGTTCCCTTTTCCCCCAACCTCTTCAGCATAAGTTGCCATCAGTGTTTTTGATCTTGGCCATTCTTACAGGTGTAGGATAAAATCTAAGAGTTGTTTTGATTTGCATTTCTCTGATGACTAAGAATTTTGAACATTTCCTTAAGTGTCTTTTAGCCATTTTAGATTCCTCTGTTGAGAGTTCTCTGTTTAGGTCTGTACTCCATTTTTTATTAGATTATGTGATCTTTTGGTGTCCAATTTCTTGAGTTCTTTGTATATTTTGGAGTTCAGACCTCTGTCTGAGGTGGTGTTAGTGAAGATCTTTTCCCATTCTGTAGGCTGTCGTTTTGTCTTGTTGACTGTGTCCTTTGCTTTACAGAAGCTTTTCAGTTTCAGGAAGTCCCATTTATTAATTGTTGCTCTCAGTGCCTGTGCTGTTGGGGTTATATTTAGGAAGTGGTTCCCTGTGCCATTCAAGTGTGCTTCCCACTTTCTCTTCTATAAGGTTCAGTGTGGCTGGCTTTATGTTTGAGGTCTTTGATCCATTTGGATTTGAGTTTTGTGCATGGTGATAGATATGGGTCTATTTTCATTTTTCTACCTGTTGATATCCAGTTATACGAGCACCACTTGTTAAATATGCTTTCTTTTTTCCATTTGATATTTTTTGCTTCTTTATCAAAGACCAGGTGTTCGAAGATGTGTGGATTGATATCTGGGTCTTCTATTCAGTTCCATTGGTCCTCCTGTCTGTTCTTATGCCACTTTGATATATTTTTTAGAGTTTTTTTAATATATTAAAGTAGGTGGATTAACTTGGTCACAGATTTTCTGCCAAAACTGGAACTTTCTGCAGTGGCTCCCACCAAGGATCTGGAGCTAGACTGTTGAGGGAGCTGTGTGAAGTGCCTGGAATCTCTTGTTCCTCACAGAGACTGATTAAACTTGAACCAAAGCTCTGATTTGAGCTGCTTGACTCTGGGTCTTGTTCAACTACCCAGTGTTTGACAGAGAGCTTGGTAGAGTTTACTAAATAGAGGGACAAAAATAATTTCATAAAATTAAAGTCAGATGGGATATATGTATTCATGTTCTTTGCAGTATTTATGAAAATTATAATTGCTCTTCTAAATAGGAGTTTTCCCTCTCTCTCCCTCTCTCTGTTGGTTTTTCGAGATGGGGTTTCTCTGTAGCTTTGGAGCCTGTCCTGGATTAGCTCTTGTAGACTAGGCTGGCCTCAAACTCACAGAGATCCACCTGCCTCTGCCTCCCGAGTGCTGGGATTAAAGGCGCGCGCCACTACCACCCGGCTCGTGTTAGAATTTTTTTTTTTTCCGAGACAGGGTTTCTCTGTATCTTAGGAGCCTGTCCTGGAACTAGCTCTTGGAGACCAAGCTGGTCTCGAACTCAAGTCTGTGATCTCTATCCGCCTGCCTCTGCCTCCCGAGTGCGGGATTAATGGCGTGCACCACCACTGCCTGGCTTCGTGCCTAAATTACAACTGCAGGCCACCACGTCTGGTTTTTATGGAGCTGGGGGACGGTATCCAGGGTGTCATGTGCCTAAACAACTCTACCAACCGAGCTACATCCCCAGGCAAGAACAGAACTTTTAAATTAGCTATCATTAAATTTGAGGGAAGGTATGTGAGCATGATAGGATATCACCTAAATTTAAGTTCTACTTCGTTTAGTAGATCACTGGCCATATGCAAGTGGAGAGCAGGTGTCAACCGCGAATAGTGATTATTTGAACGCGCTTCTCAACGTTTCAAGTTTTTCCCAGGCTGGAGGGCCCCTCAGGGCTAGAACTGGGCCGTTTCTCTTGTCTAATCTTGAAAACGCTGTGGCAAAAAGCAACAGGCAGTCCTTAACAGAAACAATCAGAACTAGTTCTGCTAATATGTTTCCTTCAGCAGAAAGCCGCCAACTGGACTATTCTGAAAAACACGGACACCACGAATCCACACACAGAAACACATTAGCGCCTGGCGGACTTCCGAGAAATCAGAGTCCTAATATGAGAAACCCACCAAGATGCGTGAGAGAAAATGATTCTCACTTCCCATTGGCTGAACTCTCTGGAGTTTAACCCTCTAACACATTTTCATTGGTTGTTTTTACTGTCACGTCTGTCCACTTCCTGGTCCGCTTCCAGCAACTGCAGGACTAAAGGGCTGTACTGAGTCTGGGGGTCTCCCAGATCCCCGTACCCTAGCCGGAGGCTCTCGCCAAGCCCCCAGTCCAGACCCCCCGCCCCCGTGTGCTCGAGGGCCCGCCCCCAGACCGTCAGTTCCCTCCCCCTTATGGTTGGGGCCCCGCCCTCAGCCCAAGACACCGCCTCTAGAAATTAGATCCCCGCCCCGAGCCCGTGATCAAACCCCTTACCTGCGATCCTGCCCTGACTTGTAGCCCCGCCCTCATCTACAAGCCACGCCCCCAGACGGCACATGTCCACGCCCCCTGCCCGCGGTCCCGCCCTTCCCTCCCCAGAGGGCGGCGACCAGGCGGCGGCCGCAGCCGCAGGAAGATGCTGGAAGCGGGCGGGCGCGCACCGCGGAGGTGCTGAAGGGACAGTTCCCGCGGCAGAACTTGCCCCTGAGCGCGTGGAGCACCAAGCGATGGAGACTATCTGGATCTACCAGTTCCGCCTCATCGTGATCGGGGACTCCACAGTGGGCAAGTCGTGCCTCCTGCACCGCTTCACCCAGGGCCGCTTCCCAGGGCTGCGCTCCCCTGCCTGCGACCCCACGGTTGGCGTCGACTTCTTCTCGCGCCTACTGGAAATTGAGCCCGGCAAGAGGATCAAGCTGCAGCTCTGGGACACGGCGGGGCAGGAGCGCTTCAGGTAGGGAGTCACCCGCTGCGAGCTCTCGAAAGTGCTAGCGCTCAATGCTCGCTTCCCCTTCGCCCCTCCCCTTCCAGGGGCTACTTCCTCCTCCGCAGTTTCTTCTTTCTTTAGCACGGATTCCTGCGCCCCCTTTCTGTCTCCTTTCCTGTCCTAACCTGGATCGCCTGGTCTCCCCCAGCTCTGTCTGCTCCTCTAGGCATTTGGGTCCCTTTGGCTCCACCTCTGGTTTCTCCCCAAACTCAACTTCGCGTGTACGCCCTGACTCAACAACCTTCCGCCTAGTGTCCCCTTTTCAGCTTAGACCAAGCCTCTTAAGGGGCGGTAGAAATGCCTAGTGGGGTGTGTGTGAAAAATCTTTAGTTCTCGGCAAGCAGAACTCCAGCCGGGGTTATGGCCTGGGCTCCATTGGAACGGTTCACAGCGAGATGCATGCGGTTAATTGATTTGAAAAGCACCAAATGTGGTCATCAGAAAATACTGGGCCATGACCCTAGGGATTAGGTCCTGAAAAACAACTAAATGTAACATCGGAGTCACCGACCCAACTGAGGGTGTGTGTGTTTGTGTTTGTGTTTAAAGGGTGGAGTTGCCTTTGAAAGTTTGTCCTCTTTGGTGAAAAACGTAATATTGAGGTTCATCTGCAACTTTCCCTTTATTTCATTGATTCGTACTTAACGTTCCGGAGTGATAACAAGAGAAAATACTTTTCTGTACAAGGTTTTGTTTTGTTTTGTTTTGTTTTCGAGACAGGGTTTCTCTGTGGTTTTGGAGCCTGTCCTGGAACTAGCTCTTGTAGACCAGGCTGGTCTCGAACTCACAAAACAACTAAATGTAACATCGGAGTCACCGACCCAACTGAGGGTGTGTGTGTTTGTGTTTGTGTTTAAAGGGTGGAGTTGCCTTTGAAAGTTTGTCCTCTTTGGTGAAAAACGTAATATTGAGGTTCATCTGCAACTTTCCCTTTATTTCATTGATTCGTACTTAACGTTCCGGAGTGATAACAAGAGAAAATACTTTTCTGTACAAGGTTTTGTTTTGTTTTGTTTTCGAGACAGGGTTTCTCTGTGGTTTTGGAGCCTGTCCTGGAACTAGTTCTTGTAGACCAGGCTGGTCTCAAACTCACAGAGATCCGCCTGCCTCTGCCTCCCAAGTGCTGGGATTAAAGGCATGCACCACCACCGCCCGGCTGAGAAAATACTTTTCTAAATGGAGAAAAAGGCTCTCAAGTAAATAGTCTCATTCTAAATGTTCACTGAGGAACCTGAGAGATTGTGCAAAGACGACTGACGTTACAGAAATAAGAGGAACCAAAACTGAATTCCTTGGATATTTGAGATAAAATCATATCTAAAGCCTATTTCCAGTTATTTTGGATCGAACAGTACTTTGGTAAGGAAGCTGGTAATATACTGTTTTGTTCCTTTAAAATCACATGATCAATGGGAACTCTCCTAGGCAAATATTGTCACACCTCTCAGCAAGTGCTCTGCTTGTGAACTAAGGAACTCCTTTTAGGAACTTCCAAACATGGCTCCCCCTCACTCCTAACCAGCATCCATGCCGAATGAGTTCAGCCTACATTTGAAGAATGTCCAACACTAAAATCTTGGCTTTCATTTCTGGGTCTGACACTAATTCACGGAGATAATAAGGGAACTGCCTTGCTTGCTTGTACATTAGTTTCTTTTGTGTGTGAAGTAGAGAAACGGTAAGGCCTGCTTTCAGAGGTGTTAAAGGGCATCAGCTTTGTTTAGAATTCCATGAAGACATTTTTGTTCCCTTTTCAATCAGCCTCCTTTGATTGAAACAGTTTTTAAACCTTGTGCCTCATCTGTAAAATGAAGATATCGTCATGATTTCTAAGATTCCTTCCGGTTCAACCACTCTTGAGATCAGTTACCGATTCTTCCATTTGTGGTCTTAGGTTGAACTCTAAGTTATTTCAGGGTCAGAAAAAGAAAGCATTTACTTAGTGCTTGCTCTGCCCTTTAAAGGTAGTAAAATCTTCCTGTGTCTATTTACTTAAAAGTAATTCCTCGACCTATTGACAGGAAAATAAAGGATAATTAATCTGTTAGAATGTAAAGACCTTTGCTAGCTGACGGTTTTGCAATGCCTTTGAGAAGAATGTAAATAACAATTCATTTTATATATACATTATTTAAACAACCCAGTAACTGCCCTGTAATAATGCAAGGACAGTTAGAGAATGTTTACAATGAGTCATACTTTTCTGTTTTGCTTGGCCCTTTACCAATGATATATTCATAAATACATACATATTTCAGTAGCTACCTACAATGCTCGTCTTTCTAGCATATAGCGGAATGCTTCACCATACAACTGCATTCAAAACAATTGCTGTTAAATCATCCCGCATCTTCTAGAAAATAGAGATATTTGCTTTGAATCATGGGTCTCCTGGCACGTTTTATTACATTCAAGGGTGCGTGGAGATATATGCCTGTCATTACAATCATGCCCTGAGGATTTGTGGGAAATATCGTATTAGGACGTTTATTGGTGATTAGACATAAAGCAAAAAAGGAACTTAACTTGGAGAGCTCGTGATGTAGTTTGAAAGTATAAACAAACATATTACAGAACAATGAAATGACCAGCCAGGAATTATCATGACTAGTTCTCCTTTCAGTATTTAAGTTAACATTCTAGTGGGTTTTAACTACTTGCATAACAAAAAGGGACAAGATGTGCTGGACCTGGTGACACTTGCCTGTCATTCAAAGGTTGAACCGGGAGGATCTTGTGTAGTCATACCAGGCTCCACAGCCAGACACGTCTTAAAGGGAACAGCACAGGGCATGGTGGTACAGGCCTTTAATGCCAGCATTTGGGAAGTAGAGGTAAACTAGTCTCTGGGTTCTAGACCAGTCTCATCTACATAGAGAGTTGTGGGCCAACCAAGTGCTACATAGTGAGACATTGTCAAAAAATAAAAAATAAAAGAACTGAAATCAGGGAATATTGATTTGGTTTATACAATACTTAGGATTCCATGAAGAACCTTAGTTCAATAAGAAAGGGCCACCATGTGTCTAGGAAGTGGGGAAGGGGAGTCTAGGATTGTGAATGGTTAGAGAAGAACTAGAAATCACCACTTTCCTAGCTCAGTAAAAACAATAAAAAAATAAAAATGTCACCTTTTATAACTTTTAATTATAGTGGTGAAGTTTAGCAGTAAAAGAAATAAAAAGAATGCTTGGTGCAGTGTCTAAGATAATCTCTCTCTTCTCTATCTCACTATATCTCTCTCTCAATCTCTCTCTCTCTCTCTCTCTCTCTCTCTCTCTCTCTCTCTGGGAACCCACTCCATAGACCAGGCTGGCCTTGAACTCAGAGGGCCAGTTGCCTCTGTTTCCCAAGGGCTGGGACTGAAGGCATGCACCACCAACCAGGGGCCGGCCGGATAGTGTTAGTAAGTTTATAGGAAGAGTTAAAAATATGAAAGGTGGGGGACTGGAGAGATGGCACAGAGGTTAAGAGCACAGACTGCTCTTCCTGAAGTCCTGAGTTCAATTCCCAGCAACCACCTGGTGGCTCACAACCATCTGTAATGAGATCTGGTGCCCTCTCCCGGCATGCAGGCACACATGCAGACAGAATGTTGTATACATGATAAATAAATCTTAAAAAAAAATATGAAAGGTGTTAAGTTAAAGAACCAGTTTCATCCAGCTCCACCAGTGTAATTGGTGGGGATTTCTAAAAGGAAGGGTCTGAAGCGTAAAGTTATTGGGTCATTGGATACATCCTCCTTGGGAGGGATACAAGTAATTTCTCATGGAGGGTCTGCAAGATGGCTCTGTGGGTAAAGAGGAATGTGTTGCCAAACCTGGTAAACTGAGTTTGATTCCTGGGGTCCACAATGGCTCTGACCTATATGTGTGTACTGTGGTGTGCCCCCCCCCATAAGTAAATTCACAAAATAAAATTTTTAAGAAAATTTTAACATAGAGAATTTTAAAAAGTAATTTCTCATGAAGGTAAGTTCTTACAAAAGAATGAGCCCGACCCCTCCCACCTTCTGGGACCTTGTCTGGCAGTCGGATGTCTTCTGTCTTCCTCTCAAGCATGCTGCCATGAGGAGGTCACCTACCAGTTAAGGGGAGCCCACCAAACCTAGTGTCCTGCTGTTTGAACTGTCAGCTCCCAAAACTGAGCTGGATGAACTCTTTCCTTTATTCTGTATCCAACCTCAGATATTTTGTTATAGTAGCAGAATGTGGTCTGGTGTAGACAGTGGGAAAGCATAGCAGCAATATTGAACACACACATACCATGAAAATTCCAGATTTCAAACCAAATTTGACCATTTTTTTTTTCATATTGTCTGACCTTTGGAGTACTACAATTATAGCCACTAATTATTTTGTTTTGTTTTGTTTTTCGAGACAGGGTTTCTCTGTAGCTTTGGAGCCTGTCCTGGAACTAGCTCTTGTAGACCAGGCTGGCCTTGAACTCACAGAGATCCGCCTGCCTCTGCCTCCCCAGTGCTGATTAAAGGTGTGTGCCACCACCGCCCGGTTATAGCCACTAATTATAATGCTGAGAGAATAGTGCCTTCTTCCCCCAGTGCTCTCAAGGTGAGCTCTGTAGAACTTTCGTCCCTTATATTTTCAAAGGATACTTTGTATAGCCACATGTGTTTAGAAATCTCTATCATGTAGCATCCCCCTAAAGCTCCTTTTCAAAGCCTTTAAGAAGCCTGGCATGATGGTGTATGCCTATGATCTAAACACCTGGAAGCAAAGGCAAGATTGTAAATTTGAAGCCAGTGTGGGCTACATACTAAGACTTTGTCTCACAATACCAAGGACTAAGGCTGTAGTTGAGTGGCAGAGTCCTTGTTTACCGTTCCCAAGACAGTCCCAGCACTGGAGGAAGAAAGCTGCTAAGAGGGCTGGAGAGATGGCTCAGTGGTTAAGAGCATTGCCTGCTCTTCCAAAGGTCCTGAGTTCAATTCCCAGCAACCACAT